GATCATCTAGAATCAAACAGTGTGTAGGTATTCAACTTAAAAATTTATAAACGTCCCATAAAATTAGACGATACCTCAACAGATTTGTAATATACAAATATGTCTGTGCACCATATGCTTTTAAGATCACCATATAGCTGAACCTTATTTTAATTCCAATGTGACATTTTACATGGTGCGTCACTAAGCATGCTCTAAAAATGTCAGTAAATACCTAGACATGTTTGATTAAAACTAGTAAAGACCAATATAGTATATTAACGGCCGGTTTATAGAAAGCGAATTAAAAGTTATGCAACGTGCATGTTTTAACCAATCACGAGCTCACATTCTACATTTTAGTCCTCTGTTAAATTAAATTTCTCAGAAAAAAGCGTCAGTTGTACACCAGCTAACCACAAACAGACATTTGATAAAAAAGCATGACATCCTGAAAAAACTATGTAATAATTATGAAAAATCTAAAAAATATGTGTTAACGTCCTTCTTAACTATTATTCCGGCAATCAAAAAGAAATACTACTACGCAAAATAAAGCTAGTTGTAGTAATTTTGGATGCAATTGTCTTTCTTATTTATAAACTTATTAATTATAATAATAAAGTAAATACCTATTTTCAAGCTATGGTTGAAGCGTCAAGTCAATGAGCAGTTTTTGTTAAAGTTTTTAGAATGTATAGAATTATATAGGGAATATATAAATAACGCCGATAGCTTCGGAATTTAAAAGTAATTCACTTTTCGTTTTTGCAAACTGAATATAAGATTTTCCCAATTTTGGAGACTGTTTGAGAGAAACCTCACATTAGGGAACGGGCAATTGCTAGAAAAATAAGTTCCACCCGCATCATATGCAGTTAGTTTATGAACTATGAAAGACTGACTTTCCACGAAGATTAGCATTTTGCAAATTTTGTTCGGGAATAGTTGCTAAATGATAGCAATTTTAACAGGAACATTTTATTTAGTCATGGGGCCAAATTTTCAAACGATGGCAATTTAAACAAACATAATTTACCATAAGAAAATCAACGATGGAATAGTGAAACTCATTTCCAGAGAATTATTTCCACCATCTTTTATGTTAAATGTAATACGTGACAGTGATACTTGGTGATTTTTGTTGACTAAAAGTTGCAGAAAATGGTAAATTGTTCCATAATTTTCACAAGTATTTCCACAAGAATAGTGCATTACTTCTTCATGGGTGTTCTGTGGGCCTAAAATCTCTCCTGGATGGTAAATATTGAATTTTTATCGTAGGCATACAGATTTTTAGAAAGAAAAATCAAAATTATACCACAAATATTTGCAATTTAACTTTGAAATTGCAAAACCTCATGCTTCCAAATCTTGCAAACATTATCAGAACAGGTTATCAAAAGCGTGATAACTAGTTAATCAAAATTTATGCGTTTACGCCCTCCTAAAAGTTAATAATGTCATCTTACAATTTTACCGAGTAAACGTTGTTTAAATTTTATAAAATAACATACTCCTGTATGTGTGATTTATGAATCCATCTTGAGTTATTACCCTAGACATACAGACTTTTGGAAAAAAAATCATAATTGTGTGTAACTGTGTGTAACATTTTTCAATTTAACTTTGAAACCGTAACACCGAATGTTCTGAAATCTTGCAGAAGTTTTACGGTAATCGTAAGCATAGTAAATCACTAATAAAAATGTATGCGTTTATCCCCCCCCAAAAAAGTTGATTACGTCATGCCAAAAATTTACCGAATCAACCTAAAATATGTAACAACTTATACAAGGTGACTCAAAAAAATTAATGAATGAGGCGACAAATTTTATTTCCCATCCCATTTTCTGGAAAATTTGGGAATACAATACTGTGATTGATTAATAGTTTTACACATCTATTCAACAGATATACGCGTCTTTGCTAAAATATTGATCACGTCATCAAAAATTTTATATATGGAAAATATCATACAAACTTATGCACATGTTTCTTTATGCATGTTACTTTAAAATTCCAGATATATATTAATTTTAGCGCGTACGGATTATCAGAAAAAAATTAAATTTTCAAAGTTAAATTTTATGATTTTTCGAAGTTGTATTAGTTCTACTATATGTTAGAAACGAGACAAATTCTGTCGAAATAACCTTCGATCATTTTTATTTCCCGAGCGTAAGCTAAGAAAGTATAGTAATCGAGTCCATCGGCCGAATTGTAATTTTCATATTTTCTCGACGTGTCATGACCCCGTTTCCGTCTCTCTGTCTGTTTGTATCCATTTTTATTAGACACGTACTCCGAAACTACTGGACCGATTATTGTTAGATTTTATATGTCTTTTAGGAATATCATTGTATATGGTTAAATACTAACTAAAATTTGGCTAATCGTCCCCACCAACAATGGGAAGACGTCATCTCAAAAATTTATAATAAAAAGTTTTTTTTTTAATTCCATAAAGTAAGATACTTCTGCACTGGTTCGTGTCGAATTTTCGCCCTAAACATCCAGAATTTTGGGAAAAAATTTAAAGCTGAATCACAATATTTTACAGCATAACTTTGAATCTGCAAAACCGAATGCTCTGAAGTCTTGTAAATATTCCATAGAACCCTATCGTAATGATGATAAATCGTTAAGCAAAATTTATTCGTTTATCCCCTCCTAAGAAATTGATGATGTCTTCTCAAAATTTTGCCGAATAAATCCTATCCTATACAAAATGTGCAAAATATGATGAGTTTATGCTTGTGATTTATTATTGCATTAAAAGCTTTAAATTTCTTATACACGCTGACCTATAAAAATTATTGAAAGAATCAATTGATTTTATTGATTAAATCGGGAACGGCTCACTCCGTTTTTGCGAAAATTTGGGAATACAATATTATAATCATTAGTATTAAACCGCACCTATCCAAAGTAATATACGTGTCTTTGCAAAAATATTGATGATGTCATGACAAAATTTTGTTAAAGGAAAACTCATTTGGAACGTACGCCCAGCACTCTTCTTTAAATTTACTTTAACGTTACATACATATCTTTATTTTAACTTATAAGGGTTCCCATAAAACAAATAAAATTGGCATAACCAAATTTTATAATTTTACGAAAAAGCTGGATTTGTTTTATTGTATTTCAGGGGCCACGAAAGTTCTGTCGAAATGACCTCCGACCAGTTTTTTTCTTGTTATTTCTAAAAGATTGAATTAAATTCCGCAATTATTTTTTTGTAAAATTTTGACTAAATTCAGTACTGGGATTACCCAATCACTCTTTTATTTGACTTTTTCTGCTAGAAAATGTGGGTGTTTTGTCCAACTATTCGGAATTGCATAGTGCATTGTCCATTAATATCACCATACATGTTCGTTGCAACTTGTTCAAAGCAGGCATAAGCTACCCAACCACGAATGGAAGAACCGTTTTTGTAAACCCGTGTTTCGTCCAGGTACACAACTAACATCTTCACTAGAATTTAGTATTTGAAGACTCTTTCATAAAAAATTAATTTTAGTTGCAATGCTTTTGTTCAGATAAGATTTTGCGATCGTTTGTACTTTCCGGTATTTCAACCCACGGACTTAACAACTTTGGAAACTGTTGTTCTCCCTCCTTGAAATTTTGGTTGTTTCCGCGCCAAAAGTTTATCTACTGTAAAATATTCATTTTTTTCACTATATTGATAAACGAGTCGCAGGGTCTTTCGGAACATAAGAAAATCCTCAAAAATTTCGGTTGGTTTTCTTTGCAGAAAATGAAGCTGATAAGCTTTGATCATAACAATTTTTGAGACAGTCACCCACGAGCATAAAGATATTTTGAAAACAAACATCTACGAGGTTATTATAAATTACTGAAAATGTGTAGTCATTCTTAAACTTCTTAAGTCAGACCGATTTTTACGGAACGGTTGATAAATAACATTTCTTTTATTTGCAATAAAATTAGTTTTGGCACTTTGAACGTAGTTGTTTGATGCTGATGCCCTTAAAATTGTATTCACTTGATTAAAAAAACAAAAATCATGAATTTTCTGCTACCTGAAAAGTGGCAAACTGGCACGCATGATACATACCAGAACTGACATTAAATAAGTCAGTCAGTCATGGTAGCAAACACAAAGAATAAAGAATCATAGGTGTATGCATAATTCACCCACATCTAAAATAAAATAGGTACCAAATGGCAGTATTAATTTTAATAAAAATTACAATTAGAAAAATTTATAATCAGTTATATATATCGCTTCGTTTCATGACTTTGTTGTTAGATACTGGATAACTTCCTTACAGTTGCTATTTTCTCAAATTAAATATAACCTTCAGTACACGAAGTCGTAAACACAACAGACAAAACACATTAAAGTTTACGGTCAAGCTTAGTATCTGAAATGTAGTACTTTACTTTTTTCACACATTAATTAGCAACAAAGTTGGGTAACATGCATGGAAATCCTGTAATAAATATGAATACACTATTGCACACGTCTAAAACTTGTCATCCCGCATATTTCTAGCCCAGAAAAATAAATAGTTTAGTCAAACTAATTGATTGCTATCACCTTCACTAGTGCATGAAGCATCCAGCAGACATCTCTGAAAGTTAAACCTTCGCAAATAAGTGGAGAGTTCAGAAATAAACAACCACCAAAACAACTAGCTTTTTGCCGCTAACAAAAAGTATCGAGTAACACTTGCGAGAGAAGCGTCTCCTAGTGTGGTCTTAATCCAAGTCCAGAAAGAAACACGTGACCTTACGTGCTGACCTGCCAGAATTATTAGACGTGGGTTTACAAGCTGGGCAAAAACTTGCGCACTACGCAAAAACAGAGAGCCGCTGTACCGGAATGGTAGCTCTTCCATTTTTATTCCTTTCCTGTCAACTAAATTAATTACACGTTCAGGAAATTCTTTAGGCCGTAAAAAAGTGTCGAGCTTCCGGCAATTTTTCCATTGTCAAGTTTCATTCGAGAAACTGTTGATAGAAAGTTGAAACCTTGTTTGCAGGTGCTGAGGACGGCGGCTCCCGGAAATTCCGAGATTTCTTGCAGGAATGGCCTACACCAGGGACCGGACCTTACTTTGACACGTCAATAAATTCTAACATAACGGGACTTGTTGGCAAAACTGTCTTGCTACACTGCAAGGTGAAAAATCTTGGAAACCGCACGGTGAGTTGATAGCTTTATGGCTTTTTCAATCATCGGTCACCCTTTCTCAGAGCAACCAAAAAAAGTTTACAAGAAATAATTGGAACTTCGACCTCCTGACGGGCGGTTCGAGCGTGTCATATTAACACGCCAAAATACGTCTCTTTTGAGAAAAGTTCTGGGATTTCTATGCTTGAACTCGGTCCAAGTAATTTTAAACGAATGTACACATCTTTATTACAAATTATAGACAAATATTTTTAACAATATTAAAATATTTACAGTGTAAGAATGTTTACGCAGAAGAGGTTGCATTCTAGATATTAGACAATTAGCGAAACGACGTTCCGTAGAACGTACAGCACGCAAAACGTAGAACAAACTGTTATATCTATGAAAACATAGAAAATACAGTGCCCCTATTGGCGATTGTGTACGTTGACGGATAATACGTTGTACGGAACGTAATTTCGCTAATTGTCTAGTATGTAAATAATATGTTTAGCGTAGGTTGGAATCAAATAAAAACTTATTACAAAATAGTCTAGGTGCATTCCGGTTAAAATCCCTTAAAAATGGACACATGAATCAAATTTTGTCAAATGAGATACAACTTTGTAAAGTACTAAACCATTTACGCAAATAAACAAAAAAATTGGGGTTTTCATGTTTTCTCGACATTTTATAGTAATATATGTCGTCCGGAATTCGTTTGGCGATTGATTAGGTTACTAATCTCCAAACATATTGCATGGATTATTGTGAAATTTTAGATATATTTTAGTGACAATAAATCAGTGGTAAAACGTTAACCAAAATTTGTTTGGTCACCCCCATTAAAAATTTGCTGACATCATCTCAAAATTTTGGTAGTAAATGCTATTTCATGTTATAAAATAACATTTTCTTATGCTTGTGGCTTATAAATCGATCTTGATTTTTTACACAGACATTCAGATTTTTGCAAAAAAATAAAAAAAAAATTGATATTGTACAATTTTACTTAGAAACTGCAGAATGAAATGCTCTGAAATCTTCCGAACGTTTTAAGGATATGGTAATCGCTAAACGCTAATTAAAATTCTAACTGAAATATGCAAAATTTATTATCTAGATTTGTACACTTGTGGTTTATTCATTTATATTTTTCAGTATTGCTTGAAAGAATTATTATTCAAAGAAATTAATGAATGAAATGAAGCACTTTATTTTATTAATTTAATCAAAAACGGTTTTATTTTGCCGGAATTGGATGTCACTGCTGTATTATTGAAACAAATGTATGTGTCCCTGCAAAAAGTTAATGACGTCACAAAATTTTATTGTGAAAAACTCACTTAAAGCATAGCTTAGAATGCTTCTTTAGCTACAGTTTAAGTATCAACAAATATCTTCATTTTAAGCTGTAGGGATAGTTATAAACAAAAATACTATTTTCAAAATTAAATTTTATATGAAGACAGGTGTAATCCAGCGTTTGGCTCTTGCCCGGGAAGTAACTGTTTCTGCCCACTGGTTGGTTCAAGTCATTTAAAGATTGCGCAATGATTATGACAAAAATGATAATGGAACCCAGTTAGTCACTATCGACACATTACTCCTCTTAGATCCCATTAATGTTAGTTTGCTTCCTTTCAGCTTATAAGGATAAAATTAAATAAATTTTATACTAGACAACCATTGAAATATGTGTTCTGATGAGACCGAAAGAGGTCGAAACTGCAGTTTACAGATTTTTATTGAGTTGTGTTGAATGTATATTAAATTCTATAATTTCTCTAACAAACTGGTTGTGCTTGATTGTGGTTAAAGGGCCGACGGAAGTTCTAGCTAATTAAGTTTGAACCACATTTTATCATTATTGTAGTAATGATTATTATTGGTTTCTATTGATAAAGACTTTTTTTACAGAATTTCGTTGCATCGCAGCACGATCAAAATGCAAATGAAAAATTTAAAACGCTATAATTGCCCCTTTAGTTTAACTAAAACAGACGGTGCAATAATGTGATTCTTTTTTTTGTTAAATTGTTCCAACATACATAAAAGAGTTTCCATTAAAAAAAAAATAATACCAACACAAATGCGTAATAGTTTTGCATAAATTATATTATTACTGTAATAAAAATTAATAAGTACTTAATTCATGCACAAGTTGCACAAAATTTAAAAATCGAAGATGAAAACTTGGCTTTTATAATCAGCCAGATTTATTATTGGTGTTACTAGTACAACATTTTATTAAACGAAATCAATAAACCAGCAAGTGACTTTAAGTCGTGGGAATCGTGTTAAAGAAAATTATACTATACCTGTGAATAGTGATCGAGATAATTAATTATTGTGGTCATATACTGCAACCTGCAGAGGTAACGTAAACTAGCTTCGACTGATCGACCGAGCTTACTATTACGAAATAGCAAATCCTACATTTTATTTTTATCGTTAAAACGCAGAAATTGATTTTTCATTAATTGAATTATATCATGATTGTGGTCGAAAATACAAAGTAAAGTAAATTTGTAAAATAATTACTACGGATGCACGCCTTATCTCGCGCTCAGCAATGTATGCTTTGACACTACAACGTTGGAAATTTGGTGTAAAATTATTTAAACAGAAATTTTCTCTTTTGCCTTTGAAATAAAATCAATGATATTAGAGCAGACTTTCCAAAAAAAATGTGTTTATTACTCGTAGTTTATGTTAAAGATAAACAAATTAATCTTAATATGTATTATGTGACATTATTTTCTAACAATTTTGAAAAAATCAAACGAACAATTTCTAAAAGAAAATATGGAAAAATCAAGGTACCAATTGGGGACACGGAAAGCACACATTTCAGCATTTATCTAATTCTGTTTAGTCTGATGATGTTGATATTTTGTATTTAAGATAAAAAAAAATAATTTTCTTCCATGTTCTGGGATTATGAACTCATGTGTTACCCAAATTTCAAAAAAAGTTTGGTATATATATATATACACATGGTCAGACAAATCATAAAAATCATTTTATTTATTTTTTAAATTACCTGTATATGACACGATTACGAAGCACTATTAAAATACAGTTATTATATATTACTACATTGCGTCATAAAATTTTTGGTGAAGATGAAAACACAAATTGTGATGAACACTTTAGCATATAGATGATAAATGATAATCTTTAAGTTCATGTAAAATTTCACAGTACGCAGTAACGTAAGTCACAGAAATTAGTATCTATCTAAGAAAATCACCAACAGAGATAGTAACAGATGATAGAAACTTCTAGAAAACATAAAATGCTGTATTTTTCAGATCCGCTCAGTTGCAAAATTGCCTTAGCTTACGGTTTGGAAGTTAAGCGAGAGCCAGGATTAAACAAATATGTATTTTTATAAACAAATACTAACTGAAATTTAAAAAATCCGAATATATTAAGCAGAGCTTACATCGTTGAATCATGCCGTGCGTGTCTTGAGTTGCAAACAGCCGGTAATTTACGTTAACGATTATTGTTTTGAAAATTTGCCTTAAAACTTATTGCCACCCTTGAAATAAACTTACAAGTATCGGGAAATCGCCTACAAACCACCAAATCACTAAAGAAGTGAAGAAGTATCCAAAGCACGATTGATAATGTTTGTGCAGTCGGCCTAGTAAATAATGCAGATGATTTCGCTTAGTTCGTTGACTAGTGTGATGGCAGTCCCAGAATTCACTCGGTTAAACCCGAGCCGTGATTATTAAGTTAACGAATTAGAACAAAACAAACATCTTTACCTATCCATTTAAAATATACAATAATGCAAAACAGAAGTAACATCAAAATTTACATCATTTCACTTCACCTAACATCGATCATTCTACCAAGAGCGGCAATTCGATAAATGTATTATTTATAACATTAATAAACCAGTATAATGTTCGTTTCTAAATCACATTTTTTATGACACTGGGAATAATAGGCAAAAATGTAATATCCTTTTCTGTTTGCATGTTTACGAACGTATATTTAGAGATGAAGTAACAGAATATTGGAGATTAAATCCCAGAAAAATATCTAGAAAATCATTTGCTGGCGCTCTATATTGAGAAAGATGTTTTCCAACGAACTGTCAACGTTTCCTTCGAATGATGATAAAGATAAAATACAAAATAGACGATGCAGTATTTATTTATCTGAGCACACATTTCCGCAGCTTAAATTATTTTGTGAAATAGTTTCAGACCAAAGCAGCACATAAAATGTTACAGAATTTGCAAAGAATAATTTACCCAGAAATTGTCAGATCATTTTATCGTTAAAAACATTATTATTGACAAGGTAAAACTAAATACACTCTGTCATAGTTTTATCAAAATGTTTATATTACAAAATTATTTCGACAAACACCAGATTAAGGTTTAATCTTGTTCAATTTTAGGTTTGTTTAAACATGAGTGAACAGTTTTAATTAAAACCATTACAGTATTAATTTCATTGAAATAATCCAGGCTTTTAGGTGAAGTACACAAACTATTTCAAAAAAGAACTGCTGTAATCTATTGTGTTATATCATTGATTTTTCATGCCTTTCACTGTTTCCTTTGGGGATTTGAGAGGCGCTTTATTCAGAAAAACTTATCTTTACGAAGTTCTCCCAATAATGTAAACAAAGGGTTTACGGGAAAAATGTTCTCGACTGACGAAAAGGGGGTTCGGTTTTGAATCAATTTGTCGTGGTTCATTGATTTATGCAAATTTACGGAAAATAACATATAGAAATTGTATTTTAAGAAACATGTTTCTTAGAAGTGTGTCTGTACCTACGTGAATATACATAAGGTATTATTACATCATAATTATATAAGAATTACAATGTTTAATAATAATTAGTTAGTTTTCACCTTTGATTTTTAAAATGAATGCAAGAACAAAAACCCTAACAGAACTTCCCTCGTCCCTAAAATACAATAAAACATATCCACATTTTCCGAAAAAAAAACATTGAGTTTGATTTTGCGAATTTTATCTTTGTTATGAGAACC